CCCAGTCCGGCCCGCCGGGCCATGGATCTGGCACGGACATTGGCCGTGCCGGTTCAGGGTCCATGTAACCCAACCCTCCGGCCCACCCGAGCCTTTTGGCCATGTCTACTCCTAGGACTCCATCCCATGACCGAAGCGTCTTACCAACAAACTACGCTTCGTTGTCAAGTAATTATTTAGGTTCACCACCAACTAGTACTGCACCCGCGAGATGCGCGGCTTTATGTGAAAAAAATACATGTGTAAAATATAACTTGAATAAGTAACAAAATAATTATAAAAATAATAAAGTTTAGAAATATGAAATAAATGTAATAAAGTTTAGAAATATTACATAAATGTATCATTCATTAAACATTTGGAAATACTTTTTAAAATACAATAGATCAATTGAGTTTTTTGTCATTTTAACTGATAATATTTAATTCAATTCAAAAAATAATACAAACGTGCTCCGGTTATCGGTCGCGAAAGTATTGGTTTGCCTCTCTGGTTGTGTAGCGGTGCTGGGTGGTGTCGTGTGATTGGGATTTGGGCGTGGCCCAGGCTGTTCGCAGTTGTCGGAGGCGAGCCGACCAGAGCTGAGGGGCGTGGTTTTGATCCCCCTGTTTCTCTTCTCCTTTGGTGTGAAGGTTGGGGAGGACCGGCACTTCTGGACCTAGGCCAGTGGTGATGCCCGGGTTCGGGGTGGTGGTGTGTGGGGCGGGGTCTGACCACTGCTTTTCCGGCTTTGGGTCGGCTCCATTCTGGGAGTGGTTCGGTGTCCCGAGATTCGACTTCAGCTAGAAATTTAGGCAGTTTTGGGAGCGGTGTCCTGGACTTCAGGTCAAGCATTGGGGTGGTCGCCCTTTTTTTGTTGGTGCCTTGTGTTGGGCTTGGTTATTATGCTGTGGGAAGGGCTTTTGTTGTTGTTTAGTTTTTGTTAATTTTAGTCTGTCGTGATGTTGTTTGTTTTCTTTGTTGGTTATGTTTGTTTAGTTGTTTGTTTAAGAGCCCTGTTTTTAGTTTGGGTAGTTGACCTTTGTATCCCGAGTGTGAGCGGGTATTATCTTTTTGGGATCGGTAAGTCTCCATTTTTGGAGCTTTGTAGTGTTTTTTCGTTTGGTGTTTGTCGTGTTATTGTTCTAGAATTGCTAGTGTTGTTTCTAGTCAGTCTCTAGATCTGTCCCCTCATTTTTAAGCTCTAAATTGTATTATTCAACTTTGGGCTGCTTTTCGTTCTTCAATAACCATTTATCATTTAAAAGTTGTCATTGACTCCTGTCGATCAACATTAGGTATGACTACAACATCAGAATTATCGTTCTTGGAATTTTTTATTTTTTATTTTTTTGTCGAAACGATAGATATATTACATAAAAGTACACAAATGTGTAAAAGTACAACCAACAACTGAATATAAACAGCCAATAGCTGAATAAATTGGGAAGACAGATCAAAAGACCACCTAGATCCGACCCCAACAGGGTAAAATTTTAGAAACACAAAAAGCACAATGACACTAATAATAGTTATCGATTTGAAGACGTTAATTATAATTTAAATATAAGAATTTCTTTCATGAGCAAGAATTTCACTTTCTATTATTTTGAATTTGTGTTCTTAGGTTCTTGTTGACACTAAGGAGGGTGTATTCAATTGGGATTTAGAGTGACATTTTAAGACTTTTTAAGATTTGAGATTTGTTAAGATTTCCAGATTTTGGAGAAATTCCGTGAAATCTTAAGTCTGGAGGTGGGATTTCAACTAGGATTTCGTATAAGGTTTTTTGTTTAGAAATCCCACCAAATCTTAAAAAGTCATAACAAATCCTAGTGTCAAATAAATTAAATACCTCAGAATTTTGTAAGACTTTTTAAAATTCCAATTGAATACCCCAAGATTTTTAAAAGTCTTAACAAATCTAAATTGAATACACCAGGATTTCTAAAGTCTTTAAAAGTCCTTAGAAATCCTAATTGAATACACC